CAGTACCACAAACTTTCCATAACCTTAACCAAGTGTTTATTACTGTAACCATGACTACAAAGCTTTGCTAACCTTAACAAAGTAGGCACACAGAATAATTTTAGTGATTTATTAATGATTGAAGGCTTACAGGCATAGGTCGGCAGGTAAGCAAGAGACAGGCAGGCAAGGTTGGGTATTGGGTCATGTTCCGGTTCAGGCTTGAAAGCAAAGGCTTAAGGGTACATGACCACTTTGACAAACTGGAAAGAAGGAGAAGAAGACTACATATTTTATTAATCCATCTAGGGGAAATTCAAGGCTATGAAATCAAGAGTGGAAAAGAGCTGGTTCAGTATTGCAGGGCTGGCGAGTGAAAGCGGAAACAGGTGGGCAGGTGAGCAGGGAAGGTCAGGTGTCTGGAAGGAAACGGGTTACTGCAGGGCAGGAGGGAGTGGCTGAATGTGGGAGTGAAGTAACTGGGAAATGAGATAAAGGTTGCATCTCAACTCTCTTAATTGCATCCACGTTTCATGTGACCCATGACCAGTTCATTATAGTTTATAATAATGCAGCTCAGTGAGGATGTTTCACAGACAAGACAAGCGTATATAATGTGGATCTGTCTGTCTCCCTGTCACTGTTAACAGAGACTCTAGTCTGCAGTGTAGCTTATACACTTCTCTGACAAACCACAGAACTGTAGACGAACATTAGGCTTTATGATACATATATGGTCGACTGTCTCTCTGCTGCGAGTCTGCTTTATGTGAACGGCCGAATGGTGTCAATTTGAAATTGTGGAATTGTGAGATGGCATTATCTCCTTTCCCTTTGTAAAGAATGGTCCAATGTATTCTTTGCTAAAGGAGATAAGATAGAAAGCACTGAAGCACCTTTTCTAAGCATTTAGAGAATTTGACCTTTACCTCTCGTCATGGCTGCCACTTACAGTAAATACTTCCAGGTCATTTCACTCAGTTTGGAACCTTTCTAAGCAAAAAAAGACTATGGCTGTATCCGAAATCCCCACTCATTTACTACTCCTTACTCCCTATGTAGGGAGTTGAATGTAGAGCACTATATAGTAAGCTCACTCGCATTATTATAACAACACTTTCGGACACTACTCTGATCGTTATTTTGCCACCGTTTATTATGTAATTGCCGTCAGACAATCAGTTTTTTCTATCAGCTCAATGCATGATGGTATATACAGCTTGGTTAGTGACCATTGGTTGTACACTACTTTTCAAAATGCATTCTGGGATACATTGAGTGGACTATATAGGGTATAATAATTATCACTATACTTTCGGACAGCCCTACAAAATGGCGAGCTCACTATATAGTGAGTAGTGGCTGTTTTCGGACACAGCATATTTGTCCCCAACACGAGAGTCAGAATGTGATACACCTACTGTTCAGATTCTCAAAATGTTGCTAAATCCTGAAGGTGCTAGTTCATGAACACCTTTTTGTAACTGATTTTCACCCACCTCAAGATAAATTTACTCTGCCTTTAAATTGTTTTCTTTTAAATGTATAATACTTTGACGTCTACTGTTAAAGTACAATGACATAGTAAAAATGTAGTTATTTTCTTTGATTTCAGCCTCACATTCAACAAAAAGTGTGTTGTTAATGTTGTCAGGTGCTCAAAAATGCAAAAGCAGCATCCTTAAAGTCCTCTCTGACAATGAAAGACTTTGTCACAGGTGCTATACACCACAGATCTGAAATCAGGGACATGTACAATAGCATTGTCATTATGGTCATTACTAAGATGGTTGGCGTGGTAACTATATGCATCCAGGCAGGGAAGGGATGAATGTTTCCCTTTTTCTGCATGCACAGCCAAATCAGCAGTCCATCTCAGTGGCTGGCAGCCAAGTGGTCACAGCCTTTGTGAACATTTGCATGACAGTGTCTCCAATTGCGTGAGGTGCTCTGAATGAGGGGGGAGCTCGCCAAAATGTTTTGACAAGATGGCTCGGCTTTGAAGACATGTAAGGGGTTTTTGACAAACTCTTGGTAGAACAATTATCGTTTCATGGGATAAAATATCTGTTATTTGCCTGAAGGCTCTTTTGTTAGCAGAGAGAACAGACTGAGAGGTCCTTTTTGCTCTGTAAATGGCATTTTCAATTGATGTGGGAGAGGGGCTCATTTTTCCTGGGGCAAAAATTCTGTTCATGTAGGTTGAAAAATCTGTTCATGTAGGTTGAAAAACCTATGACATGGGTATTTAAGACTCACTCTTCAGAATAAATCTTAACTAAAACCATGTGTTCAGGCTGTGCTCAATGAGATGTTCTTACTGTATATATGATACAGCAGAATTTGTCTTTAATGAAATGATGGTAGAGAAATCCTGAAAGCAAGAAATCAGAGAAGTTAGTCATGTATTTTTATTGCTATGTGCTCCCCATTACAACAAACAGCATCAGTAGTGTACACTTCAATCTACACAAATACATACAAAAGCAAATAGAGCAGAGAGTGACTGACATTAATGACAATCAATATACTTTAATGCATGGATAGCACGGGGGAATGAATACAGTACATGGAGAATCCTATGCAGTAATATTTGTCTGAGGCTCAGGGATTGTCAATGTAACATCTACAACTACCCTATTGTCATTATAAGCTCTGCATAACATTAGCAGCAATGTTGTATAGGCAGCAACTAAAGAATGAGGGTGAAAAGAACAGGGTAGGAAAGTTTAAAATGGTTAGACAAAACTGACAACTACAAACAGCATAAAAAAAACTTTACTTGTTTACTGGTTCTACACTATGTTTTATTGGTTAAAATAAAGCATTTGTCTGGTCAGTACATGTCGCTGTGATGTAACAGCTCTGTTAACAACTTCTACAAAACAGCTGTGAAAAGACAGCTTTCTGACAACAAGTTAAACATCTCAAAATTGAGCATGTATATTTACATCTAACTGTTTGCAGCAAAACAATGTCATTTCTAGTCTATCACATTTTTAGTAAGTAAAAATCCATTAAAATTTTGAAAATGTTGAAAAATGTCATGAATGTGATCGGTTTTTAATGGGTTATCTGCTGCAGCTTATTGACCAGCTGTCACTGCACTTCCTGTAAAAACAAAGCAGAAATCTTTAACTTTTAATAAATATTTATGTACTCAATGCTATATACATGTACTATACATTGGCACACAGGAGTGAGTGTGAATAGTTGCGAGCTATTTCTTTGCTGAGAACACAAAACTGTGCCTTTGCTATTGCAGTCAGATGCATGGTGGTTGTGAGGCAATCCTTTTTTTTAATAAATAGCTTTCTCTCTCCTGAACCTTCTTCCACCATTAAAAAGCCATTTAGGAAATACTTTGGAGAAGAAAAACATGTTCCACGTACAGTAAAACTCTTTTGAAAGTCCAGCTTCTTGTGCTTACAATGAGGCTTTGTTCCTGCAAACACAAACTGTACAATAAAATCTTGTTCAGACCGAATGTGAAAGAGTGTAATAAGTTTAAAGCTCCATTAAGCGAGATTTTTGATATTATAATTGGATAAAATGACTGTGTAATGTGAAGGCTCACTCACAGCGATTAACCCACTGAGAGGTAACACCTAACTCTGCAGCACTACACAGCTTAAAGGTTTGGCTCTTGTCAACTCCCAAAGATAAAATCAAAAAGCTGAGTATAGGTAAGTCAGCACCAAACAGCAGAGAGCTGAAATAAACAAGTAGCTGGTGAAGAAAGTGGAACATCTAGCAGTTGAAGAGACAGATATTTCCCTCAGGAGTTGGTAAAGACCAAAAGAAAATTTTGGATTTACATTCATCAGCTGGGCAGAAACAATATTCAGTGGGATGCCCATGTTGCTCTGTTTCTGCTGGATGTGTAAAAACGTTTGCTAACGGATTAGCCAGTAACACCTGATCACCTGTCAATGGATACATCAGGACTGTGGTACTGTGTTTGTTTGGGAGTCTTTCTGCCCCCTAGTGGTCAAAAAACTCTTAATGAAGCTTTAAGTGTTTGAAGTTAGATAGCATATGTCACTACAAAAATAATCTGCAAATCCAACATTTAATAGCATTTCAACATGAGTGTTGTATATTTCATGGTCACATCAACATAGAAATTTCACAATAAATTTCAGTTGCATAGTGAAGTTTTACTTCGTTTTTTGTCTGTTCAAGCTGAACAAGAGCCCACTGTATATAGCATACAGTATTGAGAACACTTGTTAAATATTTGTCTTAGTTCCCTTCTTCAATCTAACAACTTCAATCTTTCTGAGCAGTAACTTTTACAAGGAGGGCAATGCAAAGAATCAAATAGGTCAAGCACCATTCAAATGTTGAGATGAAGTAATGTGTATAGGAGGAATAATTGGCCAGGAAATGTGAGGAGAAGAACAATACCACTCTTTTGTCTGCAGTTAAACATAAACTGACAGCAAGGAGACAGTTAGCTTGACTTAGCACATCACATTTGTGTTGTTTTGTACAGATTAAACAAAACAAAAAAAAATACAGCTTATTAGTTAGTGTGCTTTATTGCTGGTAGATGTACTTTTGAACTTTGAAAAGAGCCAGGCTAGTTGTTTCCCCCTGTTTCCAGTCTTTATGCTATGCTAAGCTACGCTAAGCTGACAAGATTGATTAAAGGGTGTATCCTCAGCTTCCTAATATAATACTGATATTTCCCTGGACAGTATTTACAGGAACCTTTTATAAATACTTATTTCCATAAAACTGTAGATTTAATTATCTTATAATAATTGCTGTTTATAAAAAAATCTATACAACTGAAACCAAACTAATGGTGTATCCCTGGCCACTTTACATATGTGACGATATAAAGTCCGGTGTTTGATTTTGTATATGCAGTGACTCTGTAAGTACTGGGACAGTTTTCTGTTAAGTCAAGCTTCATACTTACATTCTTTTGGCAAGAAAAATGGCAGTTTGTAACGTTCAAGTAAAAGGGCATCAGATGATCCATTTTAGATCTTCAAAACTTTTGTGTCATCTTCCACTTCAAATTCATAGCAAACTAAACCCATCCAGCTCAAAGGTGACAGTCTAGAGATTTTACAGGGAGGTGAACATGGTGAATGTAACTACGCTCAGGTTGTGTTGTGACTTTTTGACTTGAAGTGCAAGATGTGTTTCAGTACCAGTTCCTGTATATATTTCTATATCTATATTTGAATCAGCTTTCTTTCTAATACTGAGATGTTAAAAGTTTGGAGCCAGTGTAGCAGAATAGATGCTTATTTTCATTATTGCATTTACATATTAATCTGTCGTTTGACTATTTTGTTTTTGTTCACTTTAAACTACCAAAGCTGTGTTTTATTAAACTTTTCATTCAACATGGATGAAAATTCCCTCCAGACCCTGTGTCCCTTTATCTTGAAATAATTGTAATATTTTCTCCTTTCAATATAAAGTAAAGTATTCAAATGCTCTGGGAGCTTTCTGTAAAATGTCAAAGTCATATTTGACGTCCATATCAGGGACAGAAGGGAAGGGCAATTCTTAACAACAAAGTGAACCAGCACTTTTCTTTCTCTGTTTCTCTCTTTGTGGTTTGCCAGGAAAGACTCAGGATGAAGCTGGATTATCTACTGTACATTAGGAGTCCTTAAGGGGAAGGGCATCACTTTCATCTCTCCACTTCAGAATATTCTGTAGGCCACCCACTATCTGTCAAGCTGCTCGACCTTTGACCCACAGTATGATCTGCCAGCGGGGAGGGTACCATAGCATGCAGCTTCCTGCCAGTGAAACCAATGTGTCGTGGAACCCGCCTTGGTGCTGTAGTGATCTTCGATGGGGTTTTCTTAAGCGGGCCAGGTGTGGTGATGTGTTTTGCAGCATTGCCTGATGTGGCCGATCCTTTGCCTGAGCCTTGTTTGCCACTGCGAGTACCGTTGGCTGCTACAGAGGCTGTTAATGTCTCTAGCAGCTGGGAGGCTGATCCAAAGCGGACATGCTCCTCCGTCTCAGCTGCCTCTGAGAACAGAGACAGAGCTCCACTGCGCTTGCTGCAGGAGTCGCAGCACAGTTTGTTGTAGCCTGGAATTGAGCAGTATCGTGCAAGAACCTCCATTTGGCAGAAGATGGATTTGTCTCCATTACAGGGCTCATCTGAAAGACAAAGAGCATATACTGTCAGCTCAGCGTATGTCAGACAACACTAAGTGGGTGGTGGCCTTGGATGCATTTCAGAGCACTGAGGAGTTGCTTTTAATCAGAAACTGACAGCTGTGCCTAAGTGTTTATGGCACAAAAAACAGAGAATAAGTACATTTCAGCCACATTCTACTGAAGTCTGCTTAGACAAGAGCTGTGTCCCAGTTCCATACTATTGTACATACTAATGCTAAGCAGTTAGCCAGAGTGTGTGCCTCTCATGTATTAGCGTTAGCATTACATTAGAGTAACGTTCATAAGCATCTGTTTCTCTAAAAGACAAATACCTGGCAAAATTTAGGGTTATTGGTTGTGACTCATACAGTATAAAGGCAAAAACACACTGATTTACTGTATTTATGCACCCGTTATAGGTCTGCATCAAGTAAAGCTATTGACCTGTTTTTTATGGCACCAAAATAAGTAATAAATCCTTTGAAAAATCAATTAAATTCAAAAGACTTTATTTGTCCCTGAATTGAATCACTTCCTTTTAGTACAAAACTGCAAAGTGTACATATACTGTATATATGTGTGTGTGTGTGTGTGTGTGTGTGTGTGTATGTATATATGTATTACTGCATATAGTAATTGTCAATTACAAATTGCCACTGTGGTATCTACTTCACTCACAGTGAAGAGTTTCCACGCTGACTACATGTTTTAGAGTGTGTGTGTGTGTCTGTCACAAAAGGTGGTTACTGTCAGAGCCGCTGTGCGCATGATGGTAAACACTGTGCAACGCAGCATGCCAATTTAGCTGAAAACCGTCCGATAACGGTCAGCAGCCAATCGATTGGTGCATCTATAGTATTGGTATTATGGCACTGGGACACATCACTGTTTTCTCAGCTTTCAATAAAGCCCTCTAATTTGAACCTGCCCTGAAAGTAAAACATTTCAGTGTGTACTTTAATGCACTCTCCTAATTAGGAGAGAATGTGTTTTATTTGCATCCTAGTTTATCCCCCTATCTAAGCTGCAAATATAAAAGTCGCCTTTATGTTTTATCAAAATAGCTGCAAAAAGCATGGCATACATTGACATAAAAGAATGAATAGAGGATGCTCTTTCAAAAATGAATGCTAGGATGATGGTTAAAGCGAGACTATGTAATGTTAATTGTTAATATTGTTGTGCAGATTTTTCCAGTAAATCTGCGCATGAACTGCATTTCATTCACTGTTATGTCCAGATAAAAAACTTGTAAGAGAGTTAGATTTCAGCGGCAGGGCCTTTCTTCCAGTATTCCATGCAAATGCTGATAATGTTAGTCTGCTGTAACGTTCAACATTTTTAATTGAGTATTTTAACTTTTTTAATACATAAAATGATTTTTAGTTATTAACATGTTTATGTACGTTTTGCTTTTCATATGTGCGGTGTGTCTTTGGCTTACATTCAGTCAATTAAATTTCATTTAAAAAAGAAGCAGAAATAACAATAGGGTTATTGTTAGAAACTGCTGTGTGATGACAGTTGGTCTTGAAAAGATATGTTTACCTTCTGTTCTTAATGAATGATGTGCTTACCATGGCAGGGTCCTGGCCTACACGGTCTCACAGTTTCAGGTTTTTCTCCATTACATTGATCTCCAATCCGGCAAGTGACCAGACGCCTCTCCATCCCATCTCCACAGGTCACGGAGCACTGTGGAAGAGTGCAAACATAAGCCATAACATAAGCTAATCTTGTAAATAAATTTCATGTTTGTGTTGCTTTCTCTGTGCTGGAGTTATTTTAAGAACTTGATGGCTTTACCCAGTTTTTTATTAAATTTGTAACAAACTATCGTGTCTCTTCATTATAGGCTACTCCCACACAAATATGTTAATAAGCTAATGATGCCTGTCCATCGCTTTGTGCGGTGTAGGCCTACAGCCTACGTCAGCTGGTAATCTTCGCAGGTCTTTAGACCACGGTGGAAACGCACACAACAGTGGGCTGAAGGAAACTTTTAGTTCCTTGAAAAGAGATCTGGGGACTAAAAAGTCACCATTATACTTATTAACATATAACACAGAGCTGATATGAATGGAAGCAAGTCACACAGGCAACAGTAAATGACAGGATAACTGGGTTGGATAACGAGCTGACTTGAAGTTCACTCTCCACCTGGAAACAAAATGTTTTGCTGTGCCCTTTGAGAGTGGATTTCTCTATTAGTGTGCACAGGAAACAACACCAAGACATTTTGTCCAATGGATAAATGGAAACTTATGTTGCCATTGGTTACAATGATGATACTTTTTACTTTAAACAGCAGACAGCAGATTTACAATCTCTGGATGGATTTTCTAAAACTTGGCTGAAGAGGTGGCAGCTCAACTTTATATTTATAACTTCATTTTTTAACTTAATAACTTACAGGTAGGCACAGAAGTGAAGTGGATCAGAGGTGAGGTGAGAAGTTACACCATTGGCAAATTACAACGGTCCTCAGAAGCACAGTGACCATACAAAGTCCAGCATATACTAGGTTTCAACCCAGTCTTTTTACCTTCTACATTGCCTTATGGCTGAGGAATTGTATGCGCAAGTGTAAATTAGTTAAAAAATGGCATGCAGCTTCCTGCCAGTGCTGTTGGTAGATGTACTTTTGAACTTTGAAAAGAGCCAGGCTAGTTGTTTCCCCCTGTTTCCAGTCTTTATGCTATGCTAAGCTACGCTAAGCTGACAAGATTGATTAAAGGGTGTATCCTCAGCTTCCTAATATAATACTGATATTTCCCTGGACAGTATTTACTTGAACCTTTATAAATACTTATTTCCATAAAAATGTAGATTTAATAGACATTGCTGTTTATAAAAAAATCTATACAACTGAAACCAAACTAAAAAATAGTATGTTTCTTGGGATATGGCCAAAATCTTCCCCTACATTCTAGTTTTTGGGATTTCTTGCTTATTTATACAGTAGATGACAAGTTAACAAGTCAACCTCAGTGGTGGATGTAAAAGGACCATTATGCTTCAAACTGAGTGTTGTCGTCAGAGTATTTTTCGCACAACTACTTCTGTCACTTTTTAAGTGTACAAACAACATTTGTACCTTTAAAGAAAAACTGTCTGAAAGTGTGTATCGCCATTTAAGCTATTAATCTGTGTCTATGACAGCAGGCTTCACCTTGCCTTAAAGTTTTGAGAACAGGTATGAATACTTCAGACGTTATCGGAGAACAGGTTGCACACACTAGTTTGTATACAAGCACACCTTGTCCTTATTTAGATACATAAATAGAAAAAGATTATGTAAAACTGTAAATCAAGTTGCTATTTTGTGCTGTGTAAAAAATGTAACAATCAATTCCTGGGGCGATCAGTGATGGATGAACCCAAAGCAGCAAACACACCATCAGTCTTTCTTGATATGACCTTAGTTGCTGTTTTTAGACTTGCTTTATATCTCTGTGACTGAAGGAAAATGTCAAGAAGACAATTAGTCTGAAATCTGTTGAACTCCTGAGAGCGGCTGTAGCCCAAATGTTCTCAAATAAAACTGAGCGAATTAAAATCTTAAATGGTAAAATGTTGAATAAACTCTCCAAGATCCAAGATAAATCTGTTCCCCAACGCATTCAGTACAAAATCCTCCTCCTCACACACAAAGCCCTCCATAACAAGGCCCCTTCCTACCTCACAGACCTGCTCCACCACCACAATCCCTCCCGCAACCTCTGCTCCTCTGACACTAACCTCCTCTCACCACAAATCAGGACCAAGCACCGTACCTGGGGCAACAGAGCTTTCATCATTGCAGCCTCCTCCCTCTGGAACTCCTTAACCATACACATCCGAGATTGCAGCAACATGGACTCTTTCAAATCACTTATCAAAACCCACCTTTTTAGACTAGCTTTTAACATCAAATAATGTTATTTACACCTGCTGCTGTTTGTTATTTTGTTATTTATATGGTTGCCACTTGCTCTTATGTATTTCCCCACCACATGTTTTTATCTACTGTTTGTATGTTTTATATTATGCTATTTATGTTTTTAATCGGTTTTAAATGTACATAACTTCTGCTTTTAACTGTAAAGTGTCTTTGAGTGTCCTGAAAAGCGCTATAGAAATAAAATGTATTATTATTATTAAATCAATAAAGTTAAAACCCCTGGAAGAAGCTATGTAAAAATTATTTTTATGATTCATTTATTATTAAGAATCCATGCATCCACAAGCATCTACTGTTAACTCACAAATGAATAACACTACAATTTACACAAAACAGTCCAGTTGCCATTCATTTTAACCTTCCCTGGATATTGTTATTGTACACACTCTATATATAACAGAGTTTAAGTATATATACTCAAATATGTATATATACAGCTATATTCCTACATGGAGATTGACCATGTTATCTAAAATCTCTCACACAAATTAACTACTGAAAGTTATTTGAGTCTGACATGAAGAGTTGCACCTCATTAGTTTTTACATGCTCACCACCACTCAGTTGGACGTCTGATTTATTGGATTTTTCGATGGATTCAAAAGGTCTTGTTTAGTGAAATGGAGGAGCTAAAACTGCTGTATTTTCAGATGAGATGTGACACCACTCTAATTAAATATCAGATGCCTTATGTTTTATTTTATATGATATGTTGTCAAGTTCATAGTGAAATCATGTCATATCTGCACATTAAAGATGCTGCTGCATTTAAATCTGCAGAGAAGGGTAAGCCGATGGTTAGACTGACATTAGTTAACTGGAAACCAGATGGCATAAAAATAAATCAGAAAGAATCATAGATTGGTGGCTAAATGATCCACACTTTCAGGACTCGCAACATGCCTTTGTACCTGATGAAGAGCCAACTTGTACTTGAAACATTGTAAAACTGTTTTTGAGAGGGAGCATTGAATAGTGTTTCAAGTCTGTGTGAAACTAAATGATCCACACACCAAAGAAGGACAGAGATTAACCTCTAACTGGAGCCATGTGATCTCTTTCAATTTCTTTCAAACAGATCATGTGGATACTGAACCTCTGACCACGCTCCGGTCCTCCACTGGGCAGGACATGGGACTCTGTTACAGGGCCTCCGACTCTCTGGCTTCTCCCCGCTGCAGTACTTGCTGTGGACGGAGCGGTTGGTACCGTCGTGCAGGTACTGCACGCAGCGAACCGTCCGGATCTGAAAGCCCAGGCTGCCACAGGTTTTGGTACAGTGCTCCCATTCCTCTGAGATCCATCTGGACAATTCAAAGTGTGGAGGTTACTTAGGATATAAAGCAGGTTAATTAGGTTATGTCATAACAAAAAGGTACATATTTAAGGACAGAGGTAGAAGTATTTAGATCTTTAAAAAATTAAAGTACCACTACAAGAATGTAAAAATCGTTGAGTAAATTACATAATCCTACTTAGAATAAGAGGTATAAGTTCTTATTCTGCAGTACAATGTCCTGTGTGACTAATATTTTATTATATATGACACTATTAGATTGTCAATACTGATGCATCAACGTGTATCTTACTGTTGGTAAGGTGGAGCAGTTTTAACTACTTTATATATAGTTTGGTAGGAGTGCTAAGGGTCGGGCCCCTCCAAAGGGTCACAATATAAATATCATAAAATCTGGGGGTAGTAAGATATTAATGGGAGAGGAAAAAAGAAAAAAAAGAAAAACTTCTGCTAGACAAATCTGTATTCATTATTATTTTTACTTTTCTCTCATCTGTGCTTTTTACAGAATGATTAAATAAGTTCCTTCTATGAGCCTCATTATTTAAATTAAACCATGTGAGAGGTTTAGAGGTGGAATCACTTTTTGGTGGAACTGCTACAACTAACAGACATCGGCTCTTTTGTAAGACGTCACAACTCAAAAATGGTGGGTGCCACTAGTTAAATGTATTTTATAAACTGCTCAAATATTATTTATGTAAAATCTTAATCTGAAAAGTAACAAATAAATGAATAAATCAAGGTGAGTAAAAAGTACAACATTCCCTCTAACTGTAGTTGGGTAGAGGTATAAAGTATCATAAAATGAAATACTCATATAAAGTAAAGTACAAATACCTCAAAACTCTAAGTTAAGTATTTGAATTAAATTCCATTACCAAGATAAAAAAAAAAGACTAATCACTCTAATCATTATTCGGCTAAAGATAAATGGTTTGATATTGGTGGTGGTTGGAGAACAAATTAACTCATGGAAAAAAGCAACTATAACATGCTGGATCCCCATTGCTCACAAATTTGGGCATCAATAAAAGAAAGAAGACGACAACAAGCTATTAACAACAAAAGGCCATTTTCAAAAAAACGCAGCAACTAGCTAGCACAGCTGAAGCAAACTTCCAGTTTTAGCTCAACGATGATATGACCGCCTGGTGTTGTATTGCAAGGTGGGGCAGAGAGCAGTGTATTCAGAATGCATGTAGTAAACTGCGCTGAAGGAAGTCTTTTGCTACAGAAATCAGTCCATGACGTCAAGAAGGGAGCCCAACGGCGTGGTCACACACAAATTTGCTGAAGGACAGAGGAGGAAAAATAGAGAGGGGGATGCTTTTTTCTCATTGTTTGGGGTATAGGTGACCCAAGATAGTCTTAGATGTGAAGAAGCTTGATTCAACTGCCAGTCTCACAGTCAAATCTTTATGAAATGTTATTGTTTTGAAACGAGGATTATGCCATTTTGACTTTATGGGGTTGCTCTGATTTACATAGAGCTGTCGGTTAATATACATCCTATTATGATATAAATATCAACATATAATGCTGTATATAAAAATGTGAAAAGAAAGAAGCTTTTAAAAAATCATTTTAAAGTGCGTGTTGTGTGGACGAAGCATGTGTGTGTGTGTTGTAAAAGAGGAAGAGAGACAGAGCACCAGCACAGTAGCTCCGCTTTAATCTTGATAAGCTGCAGAGCTGCAGTCTCTATTCATTCAACTTGCACTGTAAATTCACAGCTAAACTGAGGTTTTTTCAAGACCCTTTTCTCTCTCTCTCTCTCTCTCTCTCTCTCTCTCTCTTGCTTTGCTTGTCATTCACCGGTCTTGTGCAGAGTTTTGCGTGCATTCCATGCTGCCGACAACTGCATGCACGTCGTGGTTCCTCGCGGGTCTATTTCAAGCAGCCGGCTGTTCAAAAATGATAAAATATTCTTAGTGTGGTTCATCAACAGTGATAAAGTCCCGCGAGGTGCGGACAACTCGGCACAACACCAGCGAAGTTGGAGCTCCGTCTCCTTAGCAAGCGTTCCTCTTCTGCCACTTCACATGTACACGCTTCGCCTACACATGCGCACTAATGACCCAGCCTAATTCGACTGTGAGATTGACAGTCAAATCAGGCTCAGTTTAGATGTAAATGTACAGTATAAGTTTCACTGACTAATGAAATAGGGACTGCAGCTCTGCAGCTTTTCAAGATTAAAGCAGAGCTACCGTGTGTAATTCCTTTAGAAAAAATCTTAGGTCTTGTCAAGCTCAAGGAGGAGAGTCGCCTCCATCAGACTCACACAGGGTGTTCAGCAGCATATACTGCCTGTCAAATAATAAACTTGAAAAAAAAATTTGATACGGGACAATTCACAATACAAGTATTGCACTAATGCATTCATTGTAAATTGTAGTATAGTATTTTAATATCCTATTGTTACAATACATTAATTGTGAATTGTCCAAAAAAATTATTGCACATTTTGATATGCCCATATGCATGATACATAAAATTCATATTGATTCCATTTGTAATATTTTCTTATTAAATTGTTTCATCCACCACACGATTAAACACTCTTTCTGATGACAAAACGTGCTTAAATTTTATAACACAGAATTCAAAAATATTAAAACAGAAAGCATGGAATTTGGGGAAAAATGAAACGGTATCAGGCAAAAATTTTTACAGATTTCATAGGGCCCACAGTGTACCACAACCAGTTCATCATCATCGTTTCACAGAAGAGACAAGCGTATATATGCGGATCTGTCTTTCAGAGACAGTGGGCTTGTGGGCTCTGTAACTATTACATACTATTTTCACATCTACAGTCAGCACATTTGCATCATAAAATTAAATTTTTACAAAATCATGGTATGTCCTAAGAATAAATTTTGGTTGTTTCTACGCAGTAAAACAACCAAACTAACACAACAAACAGTTCAGAGGTCAAATAAATGCTTCATTTATAGTGAATGAGCACTGAATATACTAGTTTACAATCAGCAGTGATGACAAGAGGTCAGTAAATCAATTTTAGTAAAAAAGAAAATCAACTTCATTCTACAAGAATAAATAGGGTCATAAAAAATCCTTATTGAGAACTTTACTAACTACTATGACAATAATTTCTATACCATCATATTAAAAAAATCAGTGACAGACAAACAAACTTCAATTGTAGCCGAAGTTACAGCATATACACTCCAGTGATTGATTTCAACATCCCATATAGAAATGTAGATCAGAATTGCATAATGTTATTTAATAATGCGCCGTCTACTATGTATTCATTAATTGTCTTTGCTTTTGCATTTGCTACTTCTACCTTGATCCTCCACATGCTGCGATTTAATTAGCTGACTGACCTATTCTTTTCTGAAATACAGCGTAATCACTACTACAAACTGTATGATTAGATTTACAATTAGTCAAAGCGTGATGTGCTTAGGACTTTAAGAGGCTAATTAAAGATATACAGTACACGCTCCTGTATACACTCAGAGCCACTTTAAGCTAATGGATGCCATCAGATGGAGTGTGTGATCATTAATGTCTCGCTGAGTGTCAACCAACCTGTTTACTTGTGTTTGAAGGTGTTACTCAACCAAACTATATTTCTGAATAATAAAGATTTATATTTTAATAGACAACACTGCTTCCTGGTTAGATATGCCTTGTCAGTGGCAACTGGGTTGCAGAGTACTCCATGCAGCTACATGTCTTTTATCTTCTTTCACTTTTGTTGTAATTCATTTGATGTCTTCTGAAAGCTTTCACAGACTTATGAAAACAAACTCTGGGTAAATTAGAGACAAATCCCTCACAATATTTATGGACCTGAAATCAAATCCAGGCTGTTGAGATGGTAAATAATTCCTTTCACTGGATTAACAAAAGGCAGGCATGATGATAAGTGATGCATTGAGTGAATAGCTTCAACACATCACTCATTAACTCTGGATAGAAAATAGAATTTAAAAATACTTACGAAGATTAGCATGCAGCTGTGAAATGTTTGCTAAACACAAAGCCTGAGCGCGCTGAATGCAGACGGATTGTTTCCAAACTTCTCTGAGAAGTTGAGACTTGAGCAAAGAAGGTCAGGATTCTGCTGACGCTTCCTCCACATAAAGCAACAAATCCATTTAAATGCTAGTAGACTCCTTAATACACTCTGCTAAGTGACTGACACATTTTTGTGGGGGATTTCTTTAAATTCCTTTCACCCATGATTAATCAATACTGGCATAAAGCAAATTAAAACATTAACATAAATCTTCTGTATGACTGTTGTCTTTCCTAATGATGTGAATTTGTCCAGGATATTGTGTGTGTGTGTGTGTGTGCGCGTGTGCGTGTGTGAGTGTGAGTGAGAGAGAGAGAGAGAGAGAGAGAGAGTGTATTAATATTTTATACATGATAATGACAGTGCGTAGGTAATGGAGAATTTCTTTGAATATATTTGGAAGTACTCAAAATGACCCATGAGATTCTTTTTAGCTATACTGCCATGTTCCCAGATTTTAGTAATTAACTTTTTGATTGATAGAGAGCGCAATGTAATTATTACTAACAAATAGTGGTCCAAACCACAGATGTAAGGCTCAGGTTGTATGAAATTCTTCTGGATTTCTAGGGCTGTGTGATTTAGCCTCTGCTGTTTACACACCAACATAAAACATTTAGAGGCTGTAGTTTTTCAGAAGTACATGATGTAAAGAAAGTTAGAGAGCTCCTCGTTAAGACTGACAAACTGTCTGCATTTTGTTTTCAGGGCTGCTGGCTTTTTTAAAGAATACTGTCTGAGAAGAAAAGTGTCAAAGAGACTGAGCCATGAGCATGTTGTGAGTACCTCTTTGAACTGTCGTACCTAGGTGTTAAAGAAGATAATACGTGCTTGTACTCGAGTCGCTGTCAGCAAGTGCTCGGGAGTGTGCATGCAGAGAACCGACCCAGATTACTTCACATAAGAAGCAAATAGGGGCTGTTCCAAGCAACAGAAAAAACAGGTTCATTTCTAAGTCAGGTTAAAGCCGTGATAAATAGGGAGTAAAGAAGTTAGTCAGATTGATTAACCTGCATCATACTGTAAGACTGACTAAAGTTAAACATAGTTTTCAACGACCACTAGCGGTGGAGTGTTTAGACTGCAACCAACGGTGTGCTCGTATGCATGCTCAAACTAATGAGCGAGCATAATTCGACACAGAGGGTGGAGAATCTGTGTACCTGAGTATCGGTGAAACAACAATAAATCTAAATTGAACGTTATGGAGCAAACAGCAACAGATCCGTGCTAATGTATCTGGCTGCTGATGCCCTGCATCAGTATAGGCTAGTATAAACAAATCGCTCCATTTCTTGCAAG